AGTTTCTCGTCTCTCAACAAATATCCATGAATCTCGAGTGGGGATGAGCTTTATCAGTAAGTTTGAACACGAATTGTGAAATGAGAAAAGAAAAAACAGAAAAAAGAAGCCCCCAAACTCACTTTGTATACTTGACTGCTAGCATCCACTATATAGTAAAGCCTATTTCATCTCCTAGAGGATTAGAACCTACTCTTTCACTATATGATCCATTACAGAACCTCAATTCCTGATGGCTAAATATAACCAATTTCTTTGCACTTTTCTACAAATGGGTCTCATCTTATGTTACTGTACTCATATTTTAGCTGCAAACCAGTCAGGGTTCTTTGCACAAATGAAGAAGTCTTTCTCAGGGAAGATGTTATCTAACTGGGAAGTAAAATCGTGAATGAAACCAATGATGACATTGCAGCTTCAAAGGACTTGGCTTGCAGCACAAGATTCTATAGGTCTTCACAAATTTGTCGGTCCACCAAGTGGGGTGCTTTTGTTGTTGGAACACAATATTATCGGGAATTTCCACCCACGTAATGTTGTAGTTTAAATTTCGGGGTTTTTGAAGCCAACAAAATTAGTACTCAAAGCCACCTCAAAAAATTGTTGACGATTTTGCCCTGCCGAGAGAGAGAAAGAAAATGACTAATTCAGAGGTAAAAAAAAAAAAATTTAAAAATAACCGAACCGGTCAAAAAAACGTCCCGGTTGAACCGGGGATGTGCAAGAAACGCGTCCGGCCATTGAACCGGACGCATACATTGCGCGCCCCGGTTCAATCGGGACGCGTATATTGCACGGCCGGACCGGGTGAAATCGAACCGGACGCGCAATATACGCGCCCCGGTTGAACCGTGAACGAGCAATAGGCGCGTTCAATCCATTGGCCGGACGGGCACAACACGCGTCCCGGTTCAACCGGGGACGCGCAATATACGCGTTCGGCCATTGAACCGAACGCGTATATTGCGCGTCCTGTTGAACCGGACGCGTGTGTTGCGCGTCCCGGTTCAACCGGTTTTTTTATTTTTTTTATTTTTTTTAATAATTTTAATTTCATGCATGTTATTATGTTAATTTATTTTGTAATTTAATTAGTTATGTTAAGTAATTGAATTAGTTTAATTATATTTATTTATTGCATGTTATGTTAATTAAATTTAATTAGTTATGTTAAGTAAATTAATTAGTTGAATTATATTTTTATTTATTGCATGTCTTGTTAATTTAATTAAGTAAGAATATTATTATTGTATATCTTAAATTAATTATTTATGTTAAGTAATGTAATTAGTTGAATTTTATTTATCTATTTAGATTTAATTAATTAGAGATAATATTTATTTAGGGGGAAATAATTAAATAATTAAAGAATTTTGTGGAATAAGTATTTAATTTAGTAAATAATTAATCTATTTAATTAATCGCTAATATTTATTAGGTAGGTATTGGGAAATTTAATTTAGTAAATAATTAATCTATTTACTGTAAATATATGTTTTTTTATTATTTATTATAATTGTTTAACTTTTTTAAATTATTGAAATATGTGTTTAATTTAATTTATTATGATGCAGTTTTTTATTGTTGTAATTTTATGTTTAATTTGCAGGATTCTTTAGAAGATTTTGGTGGCGATGGTCAAGATTACAGCATATTATTTGCTACAAATGAGGAATTTGCAAACAAGGATGATGCTGTTGCTTGGGTGAAAGGCATGGGCATGGCAAATGGTATGATTATAAATGTAGTTTCTAGTAAGAAGAAGAATGCTATTCTGATGAGATACTGTAAAGGGGGAAAGGTATCAGTTGATGATGGTGAATACTATGTCACATCAGATTCGAAGACACAGAACACTGGGTGTAAATTTAAGTTATATGTGCACCCAGTGGATGGGAAGTGGCGCATTCGGGTGTATCCTGGTGAGTTTGGAATGCATAACCATGAGCTGTTTGACGAAGATCATCCCACGAGGGGCCTTAGCGATGGAGTGAAACAGCTTATACAGGGTATGTCCAAAGATGGGTGCAGACCGTGTCAGATCATGACTGCGATTCAGAGGATCTTTCCTGATGAAAAAGTTAACAGACGGCAAGTGTACAATTTCAGGAAGAAATTGCGTAATGAGGGATTCCCGGTGTTGGGTGAATCGAGTGCCATGGATGTCGCGACGAAGACACTAGCGGTGGCCAAGCATCATGGTTACATCATCATGACAGATTGCAATCAGGAGACAGTGTCCGACTCGTGTATTTTTGCACATCCCGATCTTTGTCAATTTATTTTGCAGTTATTTATGGGTCGTCGGGATAGACTCAACATACAAGACGAACAAGTACAAAATGCCGTTGGTTGAGTTTATTGGGATGACACCGTGCAACCAGAACTTCCTGATTGCATACGCCCTCTTGAGTGACGAGACTGCTGATAGTTATTATCGGGCTTTGAGACAGTTAAGGGATTTGCTACCTCGTCATCTTTCTCCAGCTGTTATTGTTACTGATCGGGAACCGGGGTTGATGGCGCCGCTGGGTATGGTATTTCCAGATTCATGCCACTTGTGTGTTTGGCACGTTTATGAGAATGTAAAGCGACATCTCAACAAGGAATTGAAAATTGATGCCAAGATTGCAAATGGTTTTACATATGGGTTGTGGAAAGATGTTGTGGAAGCTAATAACCAGGATAAGTACAATAAAGCTGTTGCCGTAATAAACCGTCGTTGGCAGTCTTTTCCGAGAGTTCTTACTTATATCCAGAAGACATGGCTAGTGGTTGACTACAAATTCGTCAAGGCATGGATGAATGCTGTGTTTCATATGGGCAACACTACTACAGGTAGGGTGGAGAGCGCGCACAAGCAGTTAAAAACCTGGCTGGAAACATCCACGGCGTCCCTGGATACACTTTGGGCTAAGGTGCACTTGGAAATTCAGAGTCAGCTAACCGAAATACGGTAAATTCTATTCCATTATATTAGAAGTTATATTTATTATAATATATTTAGTAATTATTTTGTTTTTATGGCATTTTACGTAGAATGTTTTACAGTAATTGGCTACATTCAGGTACAAATTGGAGTACTCAAGACAGAAAATTGGCACCCATTATTGCGGTTTTCCACTGAACCGCTTGAAGTTTCAAGTTTCACATACTTGTTTGCAAAAGCTGAACACTGAGTGGTCGAAGGTGCAAGAGTGGAAAGAAGAAACCAATGACCGATGCGATCATGTGGTGTACTGGACTTGTCGAATTCCATGTGCGTGCGCCCTCAAAAAGGCTGCAGATGCCGGCACATCGATAACTCTTAAGCATATTCACCCATTTTGGGCGACCCTTAATATCGGTGAACAGGCTGGTACGAGTGCTCCTACCAATGTGGATGACGAGGTCCTTTATACCAGACAGTTGATGGAAGAGCTGAACGAGTGTCCTAAGGTAGTACGACGTACTGTAAATAGGGTTCTCCACGATATTATGCATCCAGAATAATGTGGGTTCAAACAACCCGAGGAGGTCAAGAAGGGGCGGCCTAAGGGGGCTAAATCAAAGAAAAAAACAGAGGCCAACCCTGTTGCCCATGAACAATCCCCACAGAAAAAAGCAACTCCTAATGTGTGGGATTACAGGGACGAGGCGCAAGGAAAGTCGACCACAGTTACTAGCAATTCAAGTAAGAAGCGCCCCTCGTCTTCAGGTGGTCGTATAGATGCATCCACAGGTACATGTTAATAAGTAATTGTTCATAATATTCTTTATTTATTATCAATTGTTCTAAATAACATTGTTTCCGTGTAATGTACAGATATTTTTGCGAATGATATTTCACAGTATGGTTGCTACGACCTCATTCCATGGCCCATTCGGCCATATATTACCAGTTACCTTGATGTTGGTGCCGATGGCAATTGTGGATTTCGCGTAGTCGCGAGTAACATGTTTTTGAGCCAGGAGAAGTGGCCGATGGCAAGAGAGGCAATGGCAAACGAGCTAGAACAGAATTGGCATCTGTACACTAGAATCTACGGGTATAAATACTTTTCATTCTCTATGTTATGATATTTCCTGAACTTGACAGTAATTTGCACAAATAATTGTATATGTAAATGCAGGACGTCCTTACAGGAAGAAGTCCGTCGTATACGGTGGAGTGGACAGGGTTTCGCACCTAATCGCCATTGGATGTGTGTGACGGACTTGTTCGTAGTTGCGACTATGAACAATGCAATTGTGTACTATTACGGTGCAGGGGAAGAAAACCAGTCGCTAAACTCATCATGTTGGACTGTACTACCTGTCACTGCACGCGGTGAGGTAACATGTCCGGCATTTGAGATTGGGGTATGTCACCATGGTCTTTACAAGCACTTCATTCGGATCAATTTGGACGGTGACTTTCCAGTTCCACCAATCAATAATCGGTGGACTAAGGAACATCAGCCTAGCGTTACTGGTTGGGAATTACCACTTCTTCCTAGAATTCAAGATTAGTATAGGTTGGTCCCTAACAATCCTGGGCGTCCCGTAAATTTTCAAAATGATTTCATTGATCTTAGTTTCTTAGATGATGATAATGATATTATGTAGTAGCTGATTTGTTTGTTTTTTATGATTTGTGCAATAACAAACCTTGTTGGCCATAAAGGAAAAAACTTACCACACGGACACCAAATAAGCTAACTTATCAAGTGTTCATAATCCCATCATACCATAAAAAAAAAATAAAATGCAGTCCAAGAAAGAGAAAAATAAACAAATCCAGTCAAATAGTCCAACAATGTCAATGATCATGGGGCCTTATAATAACGGATCATCGTATCCTGCAGCTTCTCATCATACTCGTCGGCCAGGTCGCGATCGGACACTTTGACCTTTCTAATCAGGTCCCCGGTCGCCTTCCTCAATTCATTCATCCACCGAAATCACAAAATCCAAAAAGGTTAAACCTATTTATAATATAGAAATGTATATCTACGAAAACTCAAAAAAATAAATACAACTTACATAATCCCGATCGCTCTTAGCTGGTGTAGAGACTGCAGATGGGTCGGTTGTCGGCAACAAAAATGGATGTGAATGCTGCTGTACCATTCAAGGTACCCATCCTCACACTCTCCTACGATGTCACCGCTATAATTGTATCGCCATCTGGTCAAATTAAGACACGCTGACTCTGGGAATCTCCTCCAAGTATTGAGTGTGTCAACAGAAGAATGCTGTACAAAGTACTGTGTAGTCCTGGGTCCTCGGAATGCATCATCAGGGGACATGGGCGAACGAGGAATGCTCTGTACGTAGCCAATCTGACGTATACATCTGTCCGGCATGTATGGCTCCTGTATGTTCCTATACATTATCCACCCACTATAGATAGTTCTAGGAACTATTCCTTGTTGCCCAGGTCCAAATGGCTCCCACTTAACCTGCAAAATAGCATTTAGATTATTTGTAAATATAATTTTCAAAAAATAAAATGAAATACAGTCAAATGAAGCAATCAAGTACCTCTAACTCGGTGAAACAGTCGAGACGCTCCCTAACCTGACGAAGACGATCTGACACAGATGTCGGCCTCGCAAAAGATGGTGGTATCCAGTCATGTACTCTGGGCCTGTCATTACCCGCACGGGCAACTCGCCCTCCCTGGGGGCGGAAAATCGGAAAGTACTCATATATCCAGGCCTGCAGTAGGGTCAAATAACCACCTAACTGAGTGCACATTGCCCTACTAGCCATCCCTAACTGACGGTATAGGAACGCAAGCGTAGCAGAGCCCCACGAGTATGAACCCATCTTCTCGATCCCAGCCATCAGCTCATGTACAAGTGCAACACTGCACCTCCCACCACTCTTGCTCATGAACAACGTCGAGGCCAACAATACCCACAAGAAAGCACTGGCCTGGGTATTCGCGTCCGCTTTCTCGCATCGCTCAAGGATGAACGAATCAGAGACACCGCCATGACTCCACTTGTAATCATTCATATCCATGCCAAGTATCCCTGCTGCATGTCCCCTCAACAAATCTGTGTCGGACGTACCTGTCACCAACTCTCCATCGACCTCAATGCCCAAAATATGATAAACATCATGCATCATGATGGTCATCTCCCCAAACGGGAAATGAAATGAATTGGTGTCCGGCTGCCACCTCTCAACAAATGCCTGAACTAAGCCAAGATCAATATCTTCATACGAGGTACGAAGAAGGTGACCCAATCCAGTCCCCCGAATCTTGTCTCTCACATCATCATCCATATCTTTATACCACATCTTCAACTTATTCAGAATCTTTTCGCCTTTAAAAATCTTCAATGTGGGTCTATTGTATCCATGCCAGAAATGATAAGCAATATGCCCAAGGAAGCTAGGAATCACGCTACCATCTATCGGCCCACCAGGTACTTCATCTGCACTAGCCATGTAGTCGGATCAATGTCATCAGAAACTCCTTCACTGGCTTCTGCCGCCTGTACCATGAATGAGTAAGCCAAATATTATTTATTACATTTTGTACATACAACAATTAATCGTAAATATAAGTAACAATAATTAATTAAACATAATTACAGAATATTAAATATAGATATTTGGTACCTGATGATGCAGTAGTGGTAACTGGACGTGGAGATACTCCAGTAGATCCGGGACCTCGGCTAGGGCCCACGGGATCAATGAGAGGTGGAGGACGTGTAGATACTCGAGCGGAGACGGGACCTCCGCGAGGGGGCACGGGATCAATGTAGGGGGGAGATGCCTGAGCAGGGGGGGGGGACGAGGCTGACTACCGGATATACCCAGATGCGGGAAAGAGGGACTATGATATGGACTGCGCCACTCACCACTCTTAGGAGAAGGGATAGGGGTAGGGGGAGAGGGTAAACCGCGAGGACCAGGCCGGGGAAAACTGGAGTACCGAGGAGGAGGGTAACTACTAAGATTGTACACAGGCGTATCTCTGTGATGTGCACCCATCCTAACACTGTCCTGCACATCATCCTCATCAAACTCATCCTCCTCATCCTCATCCCCCTCTTCCAGGTCGTCCTCAGAATACTCGGGTATATTAATCGGCTGACTAGACCGAGTCTGAAGCGGTACACCCCCCATAGTGACCTAAGTCATTCTTATTCGCTTCTTTTTCTCTTTTTCCTCTTTTTTCTTTCAACGACTCATGGTCAGATGACGCGCACGAACCTTACGCTTACTACTATCTTCAGTATCACTAGTATCACTATCATCATCATCACCATAAACCTATAAATAAAATTTTATTCATCGTCATCATATTTTCATAGTCTAAACAAATAATTATACGCATATCCTAAATCCTAAATAGTTTAATAATTTAGTACAATTCATATAATAATTAAGTAAACTAAAGTACTTTACCAAATTTTAAATTAAATTACTATTTAATTAATTAAAAATATATTAATTTAATTAATCATTAACTACTTTACACACAATTTAAATTAAATTACTAATCTACTATTACTATTACTACTTCAAGATCACTAGTATCACTAATTTACATACTATTTAAATTTATTTAATCAATCAAAATGAGTAACTTTACTAATCTACTAATAATTAAATTAAAAATATAACCTAATTGCTTTCATAACTAATTAAAATAATGAGTAAATCAATTAAACTAATATGGTACTCAACTAATTTACTATTAATTAAATTAGTTTTCTCATTCAACTAATTTACATACTATTTAAATTAATTTAATCAATTCAAATGATTAACTTTACTAATCTACTAATAACTTAGTTAAAAATATAACCTAAATACTTTAATAACTATTTAAATTAATAAGTACATCAATCAAACTAATTAATGAACTAATCTATTATTAATCAAATTAAATTATTTACACAATTAAATTAAGTAACCAATCTAAATCACAGAATATTAAATAATAAAAAATTACTTACTAACCCTAATTACATTAAATCAAACATAATTAAAACAAAATTACATTGTAATTAAACAAATAAAAAAAAAATTGCAATTTGGCCGCCGGACGGCGCCGGAAGCCGGCCGGCGGCGCGACCGGGACGCGCAAGAAACGCGTCCCGGTTCAACCCGAACGAGCAAACCGCCTGTTCGGGTTGAACCGGACGTTGTTGCTGCGTCGTCGCCGCGCCGCCGGACGGCTTCATTGCCCGTCCGGCGGTCTTACAACATTTAAAAAAAAAAAAAAAAAGAACCTGGCCGCCGGACGGGCAATGAAGCCATCCGGCGGCGCGACCGGGACGCGCAAGCAACGCATCCCGGTTCAACTCGGAACGAGTCCGGCGGCCAGATTCCAAATTTTTTTTTTTTCTTCAATTTACAAAGTTTTTTTTTAAAAAAAAAACGTACCCGTGATGAGATCGGCTCTTTCCCGCTTTGATTCTTCCGTGTTGCCATCAATTTTTCACCAAATTAGACTTCAAAATGGGATTTAGAAGGGTGGTGGTTTCAAGTTTTCTCTCTTTTTTCCTTTGGTGGAAGTTTAAAATGTAAAGGGCAAAATGGTCCAAAAAAATTTATGGTGGCTTCAAGTAGTAAAGATAGTGGCTTCAAAAACTAACACCCTAAATTTCTACATCTTAATTTAAAGAAGTTTGTAGTGAAATTCAGGAAAACATTGAGATGATAGATATTGCTGGATGGCCACTCTTTGGGATGTCTGTCAATATCTGCCTGAATTAAGAATTCTTCGAATATGCGACAATAATCTCATTGGCAGCTTCCCTGTTGGAACCACGACTTGCTCTCACTCTAAGAAATTCTCGATATCAGGTATTCTCAACTCCCCGGGACATTGCCTGATTTATCACCATTGCAATCCCTCTGATTTCTAGACTTTTCAAACAACCCTTTTCAGGGGAAGTTTCCCCTGTCGCTCTTGAGATTATAAGCTTTAATGAAAATCGGGGGTTTGATTTATGGGAATTGCAGAAGAACATTTGCAGGCTGACAAAGCTCTGGCACCTTATCTTATATGAATGTAATATACATGGGGACATTCCAGCATTTACAGGCAACAGGATTGCTGCCTACCGTAGCGGAACGAAAATCATTGAGAAGAAGAAAAAAAAAAGTTATCATTCTCACACGTCGCAACCCTACAAGTTGAGGCAGAGTCGAGAAAACGAATTCACAACAATAAGCTGTCTTTCAAAAACAGATTATTTATACGATAAATTACCGATGACAGATTAACACATATGAAGTTACTATGACCTTTCACAATACGTACAATTTTTCTTACTATATTAAAACACTCAAGATTTGAATCCTTTTGGTGAAATGAGAAACTAAAATGAAAGAAAAATTCAGGCGAATCTCATAACTTACAAACCGTGAAGCCCCTCGTTGAAAATGGTAGTGAAAGCATCCATTTTGGGCTTCGGCATGGAGAGACCAACTTCGACAACCCCCTCAGGATCTCTGCAACCATTCAGAGAAATAGCACCAGTAAGATCAATGGAAGCAAACTCAAACTTGACGGCCTTTCCCCAACCAAAGTCCAAATTGTAATAACTGAACTTTGGTGAGCCTGCAACCCCGACATTCCTTGCCCATTTCTCATCATGTAATCCTTCCATCCAATGTTCAGCTCCAAGGAATAATGTTTCACTGTTTTTCAACCTTTCATGAATGGTTTTTCCGATCAGTTCGACTGCATTCTGGAACCCTCCTTCTCCGGCCAGTTTTCCATACTCTGTTTCCGTGATACAGAGTGTCATGTAATTTCCGAAATAATTTTCCGGCAACGGCGGGTTCATCCGTCCCCGGCATTCGGCCCAGAAGGTAAAAAGTTCCGGGTCTTCTGCACCGACATCTTCTCCACTAGGAGCTCGAGATTTTACAAGACAAGTCCAAACGTACGCGACAGAAACCGTGAATGATGACAGATGAAGCACCTTTTCGCGGTTTTCCAGGGCTAAGCTCTTGAGTTTCTCGATGTCCTTCCCGGTAATGACAAATGTTTTCCTGACATTGACATTGAGTTTGTTCATAAAATCAAAGATTGGAAATCCGTCACCATTTTTCACGAATTCGATTATGCCATTTCATGTTTGGAAGAAAACTGAGGCAAGACCCTTCGGGTCTTTGATTACAGTCCGATCATAAAATGGTAGATTCTCACTTACAAGTGATTTTGAAGAAACAGAGTCTCCAGCTTCCTGGAGTTGAAAGCTCAAATCAGCCCATGTCTTCATAAATTGAAAAATGGTGCTGGCATCTCCGGCGGAATGATGGTTCGAAATTGCTATGGAGATCCCGGAATTTGGAAACAGGGTCACCTGAATACCAAGCACCGGAATGATTTTATCCGAACCCGAATCGGAATCAGCATTATACAGAGTTGGATTAAACAGCGCTGGAACTAAAGATCGATATGGAAGACATTTTCTGGCCTCATCTGCTGTTGCTGTTAAGTAACTGAAATTATCAACCTCGTTACACTCGGATATACGTCACTGAATCTCCTTGGAGGTAACGAATTTCGGGCAGGCTCGGATTCGAATCAGAATTCGAAACGGAACCCGAACCCGAAGGAATTATGAGATTACCTGCTAGAGGTAGAAAATTTTCCAGGGCAATCGACAGAGAAAGCTCGAGTTTTGGAACAATGTGATCGATGAAATGGGCTCTTGTAAGCTGGGGGATTTCGTAAAACACAAGTCGTTCGATAGGCAAGAATTGCAACCAAACCATATCGAGAAATGTTAGGGGAAGTGCCATTTCTTTGGTGGAAGACGGCGGTGGAGGTGAGACGGAGTACCGCTTCAACACCGTCACTATTTCGGTTGTGGAGGCCATAAATAAGATTTTAAGGCTGAGCTTGAAGTGTTTTGCGTGAATTTGCTACGAATTGTTTTGAACAAATTCCTTGTGGATCTTATTATGATTTATGTTGCTGATTTAAATCACAATGGACATTGATTATTTTTCGGTGTGAAGCGACTGAAATGACAAAATTCATATTTTTGGTATGGACTTACTGATAAGAAACACAGAATTCAGTCGGTTTGTCTAAGTAGGATTTTGTGACCACATATTTTTTTTTTCTTATGGAAGTCTTGATGTAAGAACTGTTAAAAGCCCTACATTGGTGGACTACATCACCTTTTACATTATTTCTGAATTTTATCAAATATTATTATTATTTGATAAAGGTTTATTTACATTAGATAAATATTAAATCATAATTAGATGGATAATAATTGAAAAAAGTTTATTAGAAGAAGTAACTCACAATGGAAGGCTACTACATAAATACAGTATAGAGTGTAGTTCAAAATGGCTGACTCTTATTTGCCATCCCAAGGTATGTACAATATTATGCTATCATTCATAGCAACATAGGTGTTTTCGGGTTATGACCAAGGTACTTTGATTAAAGTTTACATGTGATACATGTTGTATTAGAGTGTCTAGGTTATGATCATCGAATTTGTTATCATCCCATCGTATTTATGCTTGTTATAAAGCACTTTGATATGTCGTACTATAGTCGAACAAGAATAATGGATATGTGAATTGATCAAGAATGAATTGCATTTGTGTATACGCACAACTTTGATCTATACTCCATGAAGAACTTGATGCAATCTTATATAGTAATTTATTTCATACGAAATTTTTGTTAAAAGCTCTCAAAGTTTGGGCTAATGGCGTAAAAGATAAAAGAGAGAGGAAATATTTCAAGACAAGACAAACATTTCAATAGACGTTAGAAAACTCAATGGTGAAGGTTTTGATTTCAACCTCAATGAACCCTGCTTCTCCGGAAAGTATTCCGTACTCCGATTGTTGGCTTCCACCTTATACTGTTGTTGCAAAGCGATTTGTTTGAATATAACCAGAGGGGTCAGCTTCGATCAGCACCTGAACAACTTCTTTCATTGTTGGGCGTAAAGCTTTATTGCTTTTTGTGCAATGCATTGCAAGTCGGAGCACCTTAATCATTCCCTCCTCAAATGATTCTGATATTCTTTGGTCCAAGACTTCAAATGCAGCTTCTTTGTTTTCAACCTTATTCAGTATCCAATGGATGATATTGTTGCCTTCCCCAAATAAGCCAACTTCCACTGGTTTTCTTCCGGTTATTAGCTCCATTAGCACAACCCCGAAACTGTAAACGTCGCATTTGGTTGAAGCCTTAAAAGTATGTGCATAATCTGTTACCATGGATCAATTGCAATTGAAGTTAAAAACACGTCTAAAAGAAGTTACTCCCTCCGTCTTGAAATTATTGTCCAATTTGGATTTTCATTTTTAGTACAAATTGAACTAAAAGTGAAAATCGATAATTTTGGGACAGAGGGAGTACATATATTGTAAAGCTACTGTATGACAACCCATTATCTCCAATTATGTATATTCGAAATAATTAGTACTAGCGTTTGTTGTATCTACCTGGATCCAAGTAGCCATAAGTTCCAGCAATGCCCGTGGTTATGGAGTCTTTCCCACTTCTTTCCTCCAAAATTTTTGCGAGCCCGAAATCTGCAACTTTTGGTTGGTATTCACTGTCCAGCAAGATATTGCTGGACTTGATGTCGCGATGAATCATCGGGAAGGGAAGATGATGATGTAGGTAGGCTAAACCCTGTGCCGACCCCAATGCAATCTGATAACGAGCAGGCCAATTCAGAAGGGTGTTTCCTCCATGAAGTGCTTCCCAAAGGTTCCCATTTGGCATGTACTCATACACCAGCAGATTTCCTGCTTCCGCACTGGAGAAATAGCAGTAAAATTTCACAATGTTTTTGTGCCTTATGCTTCCTAATGTGTCCACTTCTGTCTTCAGCTCCTTGTCTAAAGTTAGTTGATACTCAGGTTTAGAGATGTTAGCTTTTCGATTCCGAAGCTTCTTCACTGCCACTGTTACTCCATTGCTCAACTCAACCTTATATACTGTCCCAAAACCTCCTTTGCCGACGATGTTCCTCTCAATCATTGACTGAATGATCTCGCGATGATGGAAACTTTGAACATCATCCCAGAAAAAGGAGCACAATAATGTGCCATTCTCCTCTTCTGTTTTATCTTTCTTGAAACAGATTTTCAGAACCAGGATAAGTCCAGTAAAAGCAACTGTTGCGGGTAACCCAATGGACAATACAAGGCTTGATGTTTTTGGGTTGTGAGTTCGTGGACAAGTGGAGAATTCACCTCTGGAAGTAATCAGATTGGGGGGAACACATAGGTTTGGGTTGCAAGAGAAACTTGTTAGCTGATTTTGTAACACAAATGATCGAGGTATTGAACCAGAGAGCATATTATTTGAAAAATTCATGGAATTCGGCAAGAGTTCACAGAGACTTTCTGGGATGCTCCCTGTTAAGAGGTTACTGGAAAGATCAAGGTTATTGAGTGACTTGAGTAAAGATATTGATTGAGGTACGGAAGAATTAAACTTGTTACCTTGAAGAAGCAACAAGTTGAGCTGTTTAAGGTTTCCAATTTCAGGAGGGATTGGACCAGACAGGAGATTATTGCTGAGATCGATCTTTTCGAGATTGATCGCTCGCGAAATATCTGAAGGCAGAAAACCAGAAATCCTGTTGTTCTGCATAAACAGGTTAGACAATTCTGTGGCATTTTCAATTGTTCTGGGAAATGAACCATTCAGGCGGTTATTACTCAGGTCAATGATTGAAGCAAGCGGCAGGGCTAAAAGCCCTTCTGGAATACTCCCTTCCAATTGGTTGTGATCGACTCTAAAGCGCATAAGAGACTTGCATTTAGCATATCTTTTGGGAATTTGTCCAGTAAACTTATTTTGAAGTACAAGGAAGTACAGTAATTTACCTCCATTGCAGGCATAAGCTGGAAGTTCTCCAGAAAGCTGATTTTCTGACAGCTCCAAACCGACAAGAGGCGATAATCTTCCGAGATTTTCTGGGACTTTTCCCGACAAGAAATTCTTATAAACGGACAACTCAGTTAACGTTGTTGAATTGCCGATTACTTGAGGAATCTCCCCTGTTAAACGGTTGTCATAAAGCTCCAGGTATTCGAGCCTGGAAAGAAGGCAAAGGGATTCTGGAAGCTTGGTTAATTTGTTAACAGATGCATCAATCCCTATCAGCGAAGTCATATTGCCAAACTCCTCAGGTATTTCACCTTCAAGTTCATTATAATACAGATCAAGCCCTTGCAAATTCTTCAGGTTTCCTAACTCAGGTGGAAGCTGTCCGGTTAATGAGTTCCCACTCAATTCTAGATCAATCAGGGATGTCATGTTACCAATAAAACCTGGAATTGTCCCAACTAAATTACAGGACGTCAAAATCATAACCTTAAGCTTTTTCAGCTTGGAGAAATCCTCTTTCAATTTCCAAAAATCAAACCTCGTGTTTTCATTGAAATTCACCTCCTCAAGATTTGTGAGATTTGTGAGTGACAAGGGAAACTTTCCCTCGAAAGAGTTATGTATCAAGTGTAGCAATTTCAAAGATCGCAAAGGCGATAAGTCCGGCAAAACTCCCCTGAGTTTAGCATGGCTTATGTCTAGCTCTTCCAAGAGAGAGCAATTGGTGATACCAACAGGAAAGCTGGAATTGAAAACGTTATGATCCGCGCGAAGAATTCGCAAATACGGAAGATATTCGCAAAGATTTTCGGGGAACTGACCTGAGAGCGACCATCTAGAGATATCAATAATCTCAATGTTTCCTTTGCTGTTACAGCCAACTCCTTTGTAGCTGCAAAAGTTAATGGTTTGATTGGCAATATCCCAGTTGGACAGCATCTCCCCTGAGAATGACTTCTTCATTTCTATGAAAAACTGAGACTGATTGGCTGCTAAAATACTAGGACAGCAGCATAACATGATGATCATCATTAGAAGAAAAGAGCAAAGGAAATAGGGATGATATGCCATGAGAAACTGAGAACTTATATGGATATGTAATTTGCTTGAACAATTAAATCCTTTGATTTATAGGTATTTTCTAATTAATGTTTATGTGAAAAACTGAAACTGCTTTGCTGATTAGTTAGTGTAAACGTGTACTACGAAGCCATGTAAGAAGATGGAAAAAAAAAAAAAAAAGCATCTTTTAACAGATTGATGGGGTCAAAGTTTTGTTACTACTTTCTAACTTATATGCATCGGGGGCTAAAGATTGGATATGATTTCAAAGTACCTTTATAATTTCCATTTGTTTTAAGCTTTTAAAAGCATTTGACTTATTGGTTCCTAAAAGTTTTCACAAAAATAATCTATAACTCTATATTTGTAATTTGTAACTTTATTATTTTTAATAAAATTCACAAATTTCTATAATGATTACTTTTGTGGAACAGAAATAATAACATTTTGATCCAACTATGGTAATAACTTACTGGCTCCACAACTCAAAAATCATATAATTTCACTGTTCTAAAATAATTATTTATTTTGAATTTTTATTTTCAATATAATTTATACTAGTGATGAAAACTTAAACTAGACAATTATTTTTCGACCGAGACAATATATTCTAAGCACAAACTTTGATCATTTAAAACTTTATATGTGGTGGAGCTAAATTTTGGATTTGGTTCCAAAGTACCTTTAGCTTCCATTATTTAAAGCTTTTAAAAAGGATTTGACTCATTTGTCTCCCAAAAACCAAAGTTATAAGGAGCATGAATCACACAAGAAAACAAAAGTGAAAACGATAACACTTTGATAAGAGAGACAAAATAGGAGTTAGTGGAAGTTAATTTAACTAGCACATGAGGACTTATATAGGTGATTTTGAGGATCAAAATTCCAAATAATTCGAAGTATTTTTTGCATTATAACAAAAAAAATCCGTACGTTTTAGAGCTAGAAGTGCTTCGCTGAAAAGTGGAAACTGAAATGGCTCAGTATTAACATTTGATAGTACCCTTGCTGCAAAATTGATTCGAAAGGGATTCATGATCCACCAGCCACATTATAAGTGGATACTTGGATTATTCTAGAAGAAAAAAAATGTTGATTTTCAGTGTAAACGTGTTGATGCTCATGCTCTTTCACTATTTTGATTTTTGGGTATATCCGATTAAGAAACCTTTTGATTTTTTGTTTAAATCAAGCTAAGTAGGGGGCAAAAAGAAAAACTTACTCACTCATGAAAGGAGATAGCTACGCCTTTGGTTATATTATATGAGCTTCGGCAGATTAAAACTTAGAAGACTCTAAAACGACCTATCCGCTTTGAATTTAAGTTTATGAAAACAGTGATATGAGTTTATTTTTTTTATAAGAAAAAACTTATAAAGTCTCGTTTCAAAAGATGCTTTGGAACTCGTTCAAAAGGCTCATGGTGCACACGTTACACGGTACTAGTAATTAATTAATTTAGCAAATGCACTATCTACCGAAAAAAATAAAAAATAGCAAATGCATTTCAGTTACACTGACTGCTTTTCCATTAATAGAATCTATAGTATATGTAACCCTATTGTCTTCTCCTAATGGATCATAACTAACTCTTTCTTCTTCTTTTTTTTTTTTTTTTTGACATTATAACTAACTCTTTTAATTAGTCAATTATCTCCATTCTTTCTCCAATAACACAAATATTTTTGAACTTCCTGATGGGTCGATATAATCAATTTCTTTGCACGTTTCGACAAATGGTTCTCGTGTTATGCTTCCTTTCTCGTATTTTTAGCTGCAAACCAATCTCAGTTCTTTGCACAAATGAAGAAGTCCTTCTCGGGAAAAATGTTGTCCAACTGAGATATTGCCAATGAAACCAACGACTTTCGCAGATTCAAAAAGGAACATTTAGGGGAACGTTGACAGAATAGACATCAAACTTGAAGGTAGCTAGCATACCTGCGGAGTTCGGTAATATGACTGAGCTAAATGCCATATACATTTCTATCGACAAATTACCCAAAAGTTAATAAATCTTTTTATTAAATCAATTTGAATACTTTAGATTATAGTTTTTTTTAAAAAAAAAAAAGTTAAATTGACTTGATTGAGTCACAATAACTCTTATTTCAATATAAGTTTAATCTAGTAAATAGATTCTAAATTTCAATCTCAATTCGAATTATATGTTAATCAATTTAAATTTTCATTTAATGATTTTTGTAATTTAAATCTGACTAAACAATTTCAAATAAAAATTTCATTTTATAATTAATAAACAAATATTTAGATGATATAACAATAAATTTATACACAATATAATACCATGAGGAAACAAAAAATTGAAAAAAAAAAATTATAAAAACAGGAATCAGATCAAAACCCGACCCACTAGTGGATTTAGAATATTCCTAAATAATTAGGTATCAACTAATTCCAAAACACACCAAGCAAACATACCCGTAGTCTCGTTGGTTTCATCGGCAACATCCCAATAAAACAACTTTTACCCTGCGAAAAACGTTTATATTCCTAAAATAAAAGTTATGCTTGTAAAAATTGTTCTAATTATTTTTGTTAAAAAAAAAAATTCCATGTTACTTTGATGAATGATTTTATTTCCAGCAGAGGAACATGACCATTAGTAGGGGGGGAAGAAAAACAAAGGAAATTGATCAATATATGTCCCCCTAGAAAAGTTGAGGATTGGGCGACATATATTGAACGATTTGATAATTATTCATTTTGTGGAGATGAGAAAACCGAAGCTGCTTTGCTAGTTGGGGCAAACACTACGACGCATCTTTTACAAATGAAATGATGTCCTTCAGAAAACTTGAAGCCTTTAAGAATAAGGTTCCAAAGTTGTTTTTTCGGGATATTGACAATAAATGTCAAATGTCAAATGTTACTATTTTGGATATGGTTCGAAAGTACCTTTTATTTCCGTTATTTTAAAGCTTTAAGAACACTTGACTCCTCTGTCTCCCCAAAATTAAAGCTTCGGGAGCATGAATCACTCGATGAAATGAAATGAAAACAAAAGCAGTTTGATACGATTCTTTTTAGATATCCAAGTAATTAGAGCTATGCATTTTAATGTAATTAAGGAACTAAAATCCATCTTTTAGAGGTAGAAATGCATTCATTGAAAACGCACGGGTTTAACGAGGAAATGCGATGATACTTTAGGAGGAATCGGAAGAGATTAATTTATGATCCATCACCCGCATAAGTGGCTATTGTTTTTCTTCTTTTTTTTTTTTTGTCAATATAGCTTGTATTTATGTAATAGCTACGCCTTTTGTTCGGGTTTGGGGATGAAAAAAATCTCGCAACAATGATTTATGAATCTCGAATTCAGACTAGGTCAATTAGTAAGATTGAACACAATGTGAAATGAGAAAATAAATAAATAAAATAGAAACCCCGTTTCAAAACATGCTTTTTGAAATCGACTAAAAGGGCTTTATACTTTATAGTTTATAATGCTCGTCACACGTTAGTGAATGGACTTCTTCCAGTTACTTTATTAAGGCAGACTTCAAATTCATTTTGTATCATGACGGGTCGAATTACCGGACCGGCCCTTCTATCAATTATGGTCCAACCGACTTTACAGAGACGGTTCTAGAACATGAAATCTAATGGAATTTGGCAGTCCTTAAGGTAATTTCATGCCAATAAATAGGACTGATCATACCATAATACGGGTACGCTATCTCTAGCACAAAACACACTCATATATGTTCCTTATACCCTTTTACTGAGTTAGGTATCGGAGTGTCAACCTTCGGAAGACTCCCGAGGTCCTCTTTTGCAGGAAACTCTAGCCGGAGTTCCGCTGTCAAGCCGGTGATACTATTCCAGGCTTCGTCAAATGACACGCCTAGTGGGACCCGAAAATTAGGGTTTGTGTCATGAAAACCTTCTCAGCTTTCCCTAATCTTCTACCGGTGCAATTTAGGGTTTCTGAAACTATCTGCACAATGGCCAGGGTTGAAGAAGACGAGAACAATACGGCGTCTTCGGCTACACTGCGCAACCCAGCCGACGACACTACCCTGGCAGAGTTCCAAAGAAGACAGGAGAGGAAGAAAGTAGGAAGAAGTCATGAAAAAGGGCCCGAAAAGGAACTAGAGAAAGAAAGTTTGGTCCTTGGCTCCTTCCAGCCCAATCCGAAGAAACCAGACAATATCAATCTAGCGATGGAAAAGGAAGATTTGCGTCCACCTCGGAATACCGCAGCATCCAAGAAACGTTTGGAGGATCAAAAGTTGGCCAAGATCGTGGCCGAACTCAAGAAGCTACGCGATGACACCGATCTTAATCAAAGGATGAAAAAGTATGCCCTGGAGGAGTCCAAACGTCGCTGTCTCCTTGGACAACCTGATCCAACTGATTAAGAATTGGCTGACCTGATCGACGAGAAGGAGGCCCGTCTTGAGGCGAGATGAGGTAAGCGAAAAGTCCAAGAAGAGGAGGACTATCAAGAGTTCTCATATCGAGAAGGCTTCCTAGAAGATCATTCAACCACCACACGAGACACTGCCTACTGGAACGCTTTCAGGAAGAAATACCCAGCCTTCGATATGACCCTTGAAGAGTTTGATGCAATATACAAACGCAAGGGTCCTTGAGATCACTACCAACGGAGATCCCCAAGCATTAAATTCGTGGGAGAAGGAGATTGGAATCTCCCAAGAAAGACCAATATCCATGACCGATTGGGACCTAATTGGCATCGAGAAAGTCCTCAAAGAGAGGATTACAGACCCTTCCAGAGACAAGCTCGAGAGAACAATAACGCTAGAAGAGAATACGGATGGGGGAATAACCGTTATCCTTAGTACTCACCACCCAGGCGCGAACAACCTAACCTTTACGAGGAGTTACCACCTTACCCTCCTCGAAATCAGCAGGCGATAAGGGAGCAGAAAGTCTCGATTTGAGAAGAGATGAGAAGGATCATTGGAATGGCTATGGACTGTAGCCTTTTTATACCAAAAATTCGAGATGAGCCAAAGCCCCAGGACTTTGACTTTCCCAAAGATTTCACAAAATACTTGGGAGATACTGATGTCTCCCAGTGGCTACAGGGATATGTCCATGTTATAAGAATCAAGAATGCACCGTTAAACATCATGGCTAAGGCCTTGCCCTCCTATCTGACCGCGCAAGCGCAGGAATGGTTTGGACAGTTACCAGAAGAAAGTATAATCAGTTTTGAAGACTTGTCCATCAAATTGGCCACCCGTTTCTTCCAAAGTAAATAAATCACCAGGATGTCCATTGATCTGGGCTTAATCCATTTGGAAAGTCCTCAATGCTAAGGGTAAAGCTCCTAGACCATCCCAGGAGATGTGGACTATTGTCGAGAATCACATTCAATGAGAGCATACATGGAAGCGATTGCAAGAGTCTTTTACAGCAATCGGGACGAGGGACAAGCCCAGAGTTGCCATGGAAAATAGGACAACATTGCCTAAGCTTGATAGGCAGTTGACCTCTCTAACCAAACCTCGTCGCGAAATTCTTTAAATCTACAAGGATGAGCTGCCAACCCCAAAACCCTTGGCTTCTAATCCAAACAAGTCGACGGAGCAATATTGCGAGCACCACAAAGACCATGGCCATGACACCGAGGAGTGTCGAGAATTGAAAAGGGAGATCGAGAATGGAGTTAAGTCCGGGAAATTTTAGCAATATGTGC